TTAAACAGATAGACTCATTTCTCTAAAATATTTGTGCCACCTAGTGAAACAAGTACATGAGGAATGAAGGCATCAAGGTTGGAATGAATGTTTATTATATCTTATCCAGAAATAGAAACTTCCTGTGAGGTGATCATGATCACTCTTTTTTAATTCTATATAGCAATATTATAAATAGTGGTCTCCCAAACACCTGTGCCTTCCACTTCAGATGAACAAATCTACTACTGAACTGATCACTGCGTTCTTTTGTTATTGTTTGGTTTCTTTTAAAAGGTAAATCTTAAGTTTGAGTTTCAACAGAAAGTTTTTCTAAGTTATTATTTGCAAACAACTTTGTGTCTCTTTTTTAATTCTATATAGCAATATTATAAATAGTGGTCTCCCAAACACCTGTGCCTTCCACTTCAGATGAACAAATCTACTACTGAACTGATCACTGCGTTCTTTTGTTATTGTTTGGTTTCTTTTAAAAGGTAAATCTTAAGTTTGAGTTTCAACAGAAAGTTTTTCTAAGTTATTATTTGCAAACAACTTTGTGTAATGCTTTGGAAAATAGGAACCTTCAAAAGTCTCATCTTCCAGTACTAAATTGTAAACTTCCATTCCTAGTGTTTTTTCTGTCCACATCTAGCCCCAATCCGTTCTTTTCTTCCTCTCAGGATTGTATAGGAACTGCTAACATGAATTTAAAATTCAATATGAATGGCTATGAAAAGAGAAAAAAAAACACACAAATGTGCCATTGGAACCAATTCTTAATCTGGATTTAGGAGCTTAATTGAACAGAAGTACATTATGCTTGAAGAGCTGAAGCTTCTATTATTGGGAAGCCTTTTCAATACAAAATAACACCAAAAGCTTAATATTTAGTTGTATATTTTCAGCTTTTGCTTAGTATGTTGGGTGTTTTACAAATTATCCATTTTAACAATCCTATTATACAAGTCTTATGATAGTGTGGTGAACTAATTTAATTTCTTAGACATCAAAATTCAAGGCTTCTAGTGAGACTTGAGTTGGTCGCTCTATCTGTCTTATGGGCCTTACTTTTTACCTGTAAAACATAGAATGGTATAGATTTCTAGTCTCTAAGCAATAATGACTCATACCTGAGCAAATATTTCTCAGCCACCTATTATACACCAGGCACAGTAATATTGGAATTTACAGATGTGCCTGTGATAACGTATATATACATGTGTATATACATGCATGTGTATGTAAGAAAAAGAAACGGCTTCTGCCCTTATACAGCTCATTTTGGGACACAACTTCTCACTGTGCAGGTAAGTATTACATGCTTATTAAATGAATAAAGGCATGTATATGTATATAGGTACATGCATGAAGTGTATCCTTAGTGGATTTACGGCTTGCATTAAACAAATAAGATAAACCAGATCAGTCCAATTAATTTTAGGGATAATTTATTAATACTGGTCATGTATATAGTATAACACTTCACTCTGATAATTATTATGAAAGTTATAAAAATATCAGAAAACATGGATGTAGTAAGGAAAGAGATGTTCTATGTCTCATTTATTAAATAGATATAAGTTCCAGGTACTGTGTGTGCTGAAGAACTGACTTATGTATGTATGTGTCCTTTAGGATAGATTTGATCTTGATCTTGATCTTGAAGTTATTATGGAAATTGTATTTAATAAGGTTGTTATAATGTGGTAATAACAGTAACACCATCAGAAAAAAATGCAGAACTTCAAATGTTCATCATGAAGTGCCCAAGCTCTTCATGGCTCAGTGCATTATGCCAAGAGATGGAAAGAAAGAGGCCAATTTAAAGTTAATGCACAGATGACAATAGAAATAATAATCATACAGTTGAGAAATTCCTTTCATCGTCTACTTGCTAAACACCAAAATCTGCCCCGAATGTTTTATATTACAGCCTAATTAAATTTTCCTCATGGACCACTTAGGTGGGCATTATTATTTGCATTTTACATAGAAAGAAATGGGTTTAGAAGAAAGGAAAACTTCCTCAAATTACAGAGGTAGAAAATGAAGACCTGAAATTCAAAGTCAGTTTTTCCTTAGTCTCCAATTTCCTCTCACTGCTTTGTCCTCGTGATGAAAGCACTCTAGCTATTTCAGGTGTGCCTGGGCCCTTTCTCCTCCAGATCTTTAGGAGACTTCAGGAAGATGCACGATTTGATGTCATCAAGGAGAACTTTGCTAAACCTTTGACCCAAGTCTAGAAAAATGGGATTTTTCATGGCAATTTGTGCAGCTGTTTTAGAGACTTCTAATAAGTATGCAACATATTTGTCAGCTTCTTAAATATAAATATATATGTTTGTTAACATTGTATGTGTAGCCAGGTGTGGGTGTTCACGCCTTTAATCCCAGCACTCCAGAGGCATAGACGGGAGGATCTCTGTGAGTTCAAGGCTAGCCTGGTCGCCATAGTAAGCTCTAGGCCAGCTGGGGCTACAGAGAGACCTTGTTTCAAAAAGACCAAAAACAAACAAACAACAACAACAAAAACATTGCAAGTATAAGGGCCGGCATGACAGTTCAGCACATACAGGGTGCAGGGAAGGAAAGGTCTGTCCTGAGTTTAATCCCTGGAACCCACTTGGTAGAAAGACAGAGCTGATTCCTGCAAGTTGTCCTCTGACCTCCACATGTGCCCCATGGGACATGCATGACCCCTCCACGTAATAAAAGATTAAACATATATTTTAAGAATAAGTGGTAATGAATAAAAATATGGAATTTGCAAAGTGACCCATTAAGTAATTACAGCTGCATATTATTATCATTTAGCAAGAAGTAGGAACAAGTATCATAGAGAACATACACCTTTCTTATTCTCCCTGAAGGCAAATATAATACAGGCAGGAAAAGACGGAGAAACACAGCTGCAAGTAGAGAGGAAGCAGAGGCCTGATCCACTACTTTGACAGCTGGAAAAACATATTTGATCGCTGATGTCATCACTGGGAAGCCCGATACAAAGAAGCTCTGGGGCTTGGTACTGCTCAGTCCTTCAGGTTCAACAGTGCTATTCCTGATTTATTGTACTAGTATGGAATTTTCGCGAGTTTGCTTGTGCTTACAGAGACATTAGCAGACTGGTGGATGCAAACAGAAGCAGAACGTACATTTAGTCAAAAGTTTTCTTGAAGTTAGTAACTTGATTTAGTTTCTTTTTAAACCAAAAATTAACACTGATAAATACTATCAACAGAATCAAAAGAAAACTACAAAGAGTAATTTCTATTTAATCACTCTGGCTTAGCTACATGCCACAAGCACTATGTATTTCTGAGGCTTAACAAGTAACGACTGAGCATATTTCCTTCTCTATATAACAAAATTACTTTTTTCTTTGTTTCTTCTTTTCTTTCCTCTAGTCATGATCAAACCCAGGGCAAGCGCTTTACCACTGAGCTACACCCACAGCCCACACCAAAAACAAAGCATACACATTTTTATTTCTGGATTAATGTGCTTTAGCTGAAAGACAGGTGATTTTGTGCCAAATAACTGGAAAGAAATCCTTGCTACCACAGTTACTGTGTGGCTTGAAGGCAAAATTTTGCTCATCTGCTTCTATCACCTATGTGTCAGAGGAGAATGAGACTATATACCTGTTAGCAATGGAGTAAGAGCTCAGTAGGAACACTGAACCCAGAGCTTATTCCAAGTGTTGAATAAGACAGGCATATTTGAGAATAATTGAATTCATAGGAAAGCGAGATACCAAGGTAAGAATAAAAAAGACCATTCGTAATGGAAAAGGCCATGCAATAAAAATGAGAGAACTGGGAAACGGAATAAACAAGCAGAAAGCCACTATGTTAAAAAAAAAAGGAGGCTGGGCGTGGTGGCGCATGCCTTTAATCCCAGCACTCACTCAGACACAGATCTCTGTTAGTTCAAGGCCAGCCTGATCTATGTAGTGAGTTCCAGGACAGCTGGGGCTACAGGGAGACCCTGTCTCAAAAACACAAAAAAAAAAAAAAAAAAAAAAAAAAAAAAAAGAAAAGAAAAGAAGGGAAGAAGGGTACTGAACAGAAAACCAACCAACCAAACAAACAAAATAGCCATGCAGTATTCTGACTTTTGCAATTGTGTTTTCAGACATAAACAAAATCGCCCACTGAAAAAAGCAGTAATATGAAACTTTGGAGGAAACAAGGAAAGATTAAGTAAATTAGATTAAATATGAAAGTTTTGTCAAATAGCAGTTGAATAATGCATAAAGAACAATATGATAACGCCTGGGACGTCTTGAGAAGACAAAAGGAAAACAAACATGAAAAAGACAGAAAAAAAAAAAAACACAGACACTAAAGGATTGAAATATGTAACTGCTTATGTCAGTAAAACATATGCAATTGTACCTCCTATTCTCACAACCCAAAAAGATACCTGGATGGGGAGAAGGGCATACAGGTTAGAGAGCAATGGTTTTTAAAATTCTCAAATAAGATAGTATATTTATTTAGGCAATATATGTTTTATATATATATATGTTATGCATGTATGTGCATGTCTTTGTTTTCAGATGTAAAGAATTCAGAGGTTTGGGCATGGAGAAACTAATTCGAGTTTCCTTTGAAACTTCTAAGTCTGGACAATAGTAATGAGAGCTAATTGCTTAATCACCCACTTTCCCTGAAACATAAAGATTAAATCATATAAAAATATTAAAACATGCAAAGTATTACAACGTATAAAAGTGTTGTTTCCCAAAAGCCCAAGCAAAATTGTCTCAGCCACACATGAAGCCACCTAAAAGTTCATTGAAACAATCCCTTTCCTTCTATAACAAACTGACACATGTATATTAACTACAAATCCTAAGGCGAATAGACTGGTTCCTGTTATTGCCATGAAGCACCTGCTTCATTTTCCATTAGTTTTTTCTGCTTGCTCTAATTTAGAAACATCATCCTTCCTTAGTTGTTACATTTCCCTGTGCTTGTGGCTTCATCTCTTTGTATTGGAAAGAGATCTCAGGAACAAACTGGTTTCCGTGCCCTTCACACTGAGGCCCCTCATCTGCAGCTGGAGGCAGCTCTCTGCTCAGCTTGCAGTGCACAGTGACACAGGCTGGCGACATTGTCATTAAGCACCAACTTCTCTTACATCGAGGCAGAAGGAGAGAGCCGTTTCAGAACCGCAGCTAGCCATGAGCAGGCAAAGGTAATTTTTGTGTTTCTGTATCCATTTTCTTCTTCTTTTTTTTTTTTTGCAAGAATTAAGTATGTCCACGCATGTGGAAGAGACAGCTAGGCATGACAGTTGTGGCAGTTGTGTGAGTGTATGTGTGTGCCTGTGCATTAGAATTGATAAGCCAAGAAATAATATACAAGCTAAGAAATAAAGTGTAAATCCACAAAAAAATACAGAATCTCTAAGATAGGTGTAAAGAGTTGACTGACAGAAAGATGAACAATCCAAATATTTTATTGATTTTATTTTTGTAAAATATAAATATATTTGTATGTGTGTGTGTGTGTGTGTGTGTATGATGTACGTACATAGATCTGCATGCCACAGTGTATGTGTACAGGTCAGAGGGCAACTCTGTGTAGTCACCTTGTTCGTACATCTTTATGTGGGTCCTGGTGAGCATACTCAGTGTGCCAGGATTGTGCAGCAAGTGTCTTTCTCAGCTGAGCCATCCCACTAGCTCAAGCTATATTTTTTTAAATGAAAATCCTGTGAAAATGAATGAAATATGTTTAGCATAAACATAAAAAATGATGCGCTGGTTACATAGGAATTATGCAATGCTAAGTAGAAAGAAGTCTTTTTGTCTTACTGAAATTGCCACATCGAAAAGGACCTTAGAATACATCTATTGTGTCATGAAGGACCGCTTCCAATAGTTTCATTTTTCAAAAAAAGGTATCTGAAAAGTTTTGGACAAGACCTCTGCAGGCAATTGGAAACACAGTGTACCCAGGTGGTGGGTCTCGTCTGCGGCAATATATTTTTCTGTCTGTCCAACTGAATATGGCCATAAAGGGAATAAAATCCCACACAATTTCCAGTAGTGACAATTTAATCAATTGTGTGAGAGAGAAAAGGAGCAGAGTCCCCTAATTTTAATATTTGCATATTATATTTTTGCACTGGGGAATAGAGATTTTGTTTCTCTACTGACTCCCATTCATTTTTAATATTTAATCTTTTCATGAGCAAATTTTTGCAGTTGTAGGAATGATTGAGGCAAACACATCTAAAAGAGAAAAGAAAGATTCTGCTTCTGCAGTTAAGCATTTGATTCAGTTTGCTTTGTATGCCATTTACTGCTGCAGAGGGTGGATCTGCCAAGCATGGCTTGCAAGCTCCCAACTTGAGCCTGTGATGCACCTGCTGTTAGCAGTCAGAGAGCTACTCTGAAAACAACTGTGAAATGATGAGGAATATACTGAAGTAAGACCCTCATTTTGCTAACATTTCTTAAAATGGCAAATCTCACGAACTGCATATGCATCTAAGTAGGATTTTAAAAATGCTTTCTATTTACAATGGTTATTTTTATGAGGTTACAGTGGAACAATAAGTATAATTAAATTAATAAAAATCCATTTTTGTATAATTAGTAAAATATGTTATTGCCTATAATGTAGTAATAAATACTGGGACCAATTTTAAGATCAATAAAATAATTTAAATAATTTAATAATTTAAACTCATCATCAGTTATTATTCTGTTGCTCCCATGTGTATATCAAAAATCTCATAAAAATAGAGTTGTATTTGAAATGCTGGAGCACGTAGAGCTGTTTTGGGTTTTTGGTGTTTTTCTGTTTTGTTGTTGTTTGCATAAGTGCACGTCAGCCTCCTCTTGTGAAAGCCCCAAACCATGTTGAGTCATTGAAACAATAAGAATAGTGCTCTTCTTGATTAGTGATTTAGAATTTCCTCGGACAAACTGAATTAAGCTGACCTGCCAATGGAAAGGAAGAGCAAAGAAGTTAGTTTAATTCTATGAAATAAAGGAAAAATTATTAAAGCAAGAGTTTGAAAATTCTAATATTATACATAGGGGCATACGTCTTTTTCTGCATATATGTCAATGGGGTTTAAATGTCACTAAGCAAATTCTATGAAAAATTAACAAATGTGGAACCATGGAAAGATAGCCACAAGTTTTATTTAGAAGCAGAGCAAACTGTCTTTTTCATTTGTGTCCACAGAACACATACTAACGGCAGCAGGTAGGCACCGTTAGATAACAGGTATACATCCCCAGGGAGGCAGTGTAGTTTAACATTAATTCTAAAACCATAATGTGTCTATGTTCTTGTTACTCAAATCTGCATTCTAATCTTCACTTTTTCAAAGATTTACATTTGTGAGTGATTATGTGATCTAAGGACTGCATATTCAAATTAACCTAGTTTCTTTGAATATGATCTAATGACTAATCCCCAACAATACAGCACCTTGGGGAAACATGGCCACAGCTCAGCACATTTTCTCAAGGCATGGAGAAAACAAGATATGTAAGGTGTGCCTCAAAGCAAGGAAACTGCTCAGGCTGCACACACAGGAATCCTGACCTTTATCATGATAGCTAGGCTCACACTAAAACAACTAACCATTCCATTCCCTCCACAGGAGCCCAGCCTCAACAAAACAACTAACCATTCCATTCCCTCCACAGGAGCCCAGCCTCAACAAAACAACTAACCATTCCATTCCCTTCACAGGAGCCCAGCCTCAACAAAACAACTAACCATTCCATTCCCTTCACAGGAGCCCAGCCTCAACAAAACAACTAACCATTCCATTCCCTTCACAGGAGCCCAGCCTCAACAAAACAACTAACCATTCCATTCCCTTCACAGGAGCCCAGCCTCAACAAAATCCCTCCAAAGGAGCCCAGCCTCAACAAAACAACTAACCATTCCATTCCCTTCACAGGAGCCCAGCCTCAACAATACCTTTTCTTCAGACAAACTGACAATACTGGATGTAGTCAGTAACTCAAGTGGCTTCACCTGTCTAACAGGTGTAGGCTTTACTACATAGTCACAAATGCAAACTAGGACTATTCATTCACAACCCATTTTTTTTTATTTTGAAGTTGCCTTTTCAGAATCAATACTTTAAAATTAAAAAATTAAGATAAAATGAATGTTCCACTCAAAATTAAGAATTGACTACTATCACAATAAAGGTGAAGACCAAATCCAAATAGTAATATTTGTCTAACGGTTTATGTATTTAGGAGTTATGAACTCATTTCACTATTTTGGAGGAGCAGGACTGGCTCATAATTCTCAAGCTGAAATTATTGACTTGGAGAATCTGAAAGATATGAAAACCTCTAAAGAGTGACACATGTGCTTAGATATGCAACTTTAGAGCACATGTGCACAGATACAGATGTTTGTACATATGTGTGTAGTTTTGTAACCTTACTTAGTCCTGTGATTTCACCAGTGAGGGCTGGATTTGATGGCATATCAAGTGTGGAGCTGAAAACTTCCAGCCTATTCTTAGTGTCCTAATGAAAAGTTTCTATTGAAATGTTTACAACACCTTAATTACTCTGCATTTAAATGAATCCTCAAATTCTTTAATTTTTAGTGTTTTCCAAACTTCAAAACCTAAAGAGAGTGTAAACTTGTGAACAACAGAAGTGTGTCCAATGGAATTGTTCATTTTCAGCACTTTAAAATAAATCATCCTAATATTCCACAAATACAAGTGAAATGCAACAGACAAAGGATACATCATCCCAAGATGCTAAGAAATCAACATGTCCAGTTCGTATTTTTCTAGCAGCTTGGTGGCGTTGTGTGAGTCTGAAGAGTCTGACTAGCCCTTCCCCGAGGCTGAATCATGCTTGCACATACTCAAGAACCTGCTTGAAATCAGGAGATTGGGTCCAAACAGATTTCCTGGGTTTTCAGTGTAAGAGATCATTTTATCATCTTCTGTAAAAGATATTACACTTATGATGTTTTAGACTTGATAATACAGGGAGTCACTTAGACAAGAGTACTTATGCATTTGCAATGACAGTTGTTTTTTTTTTTGATAATTTGCTTTGAACCATAGAAGTCCATTAACAAAGTTGGTCCTACCCTTTCTCTGGACCTTTTTAAAGATTTGTTTTTATTTTTAATTATGCTTATGCATGTATGTCTATGTGGGGGTATGTACTTGTGAGTGCATGTGCCCATGGAGGCCAGAAGAAGATGTCCAATCCCCTGGAGCTGGAGTTGCAGGTAACATTCAGCCACCCAACGTGGGTTTGGGGAACCAAACTTGGGTTGTCTGAAAGAACAAGTGCTCTTAAGTGCTGAGTCATCTCTCCAGGCCCTGGACCTTTTTTAAGGATCTAAACCAAATGTTATCTTACATGCACATGTATTCAAATCATGAAAAAACTGTTTATTCAGTGACTTTTCAAGTTGTGTCCCAGTCCATATTGGTGGTTGTCTGGTTCTCCAATTTAAAGCCAAATATTCCAAGAATCTAGAACTAGTAAGCAGGGCTCAGACACAAGAAGGTACCCAGGGACCTAAGGGAAAACACAAATTACTGAGGGAACTAAATTATATCATCATTTCTGTGTGTGTGTGTGTGTGTGTGTGTGTGTGTGTGTGTAAGCGGAGACCACACTTGACATCAAGTGTCTTCCTCAATTGCTCTCCACCTTATTTTTTTGAGACAGGTCTGTCACTGAACCTAGAGCTCACCAATTTGACTTGAGTGGCTGGCTGGCAAGTCCAAGGCATCCTTCTTTCTTGACTTTCCCAACCCTAGGATTATAGGCCTGAGTCTCCATGCCTGGCTTTTTTGTTGGTGCTGGGGATTTCAAACTCAGGTCCTCTTCATGTTTGCACAAAGAAAGCACTTTATTGACCAAGCCGAGGCCCCTGCTCCTATCTCATCATTTCTAAGAGCAAATAGAATGGAGGTCAGAACACATTTGTTCTTACAGTATGCTAAAACTATCCATCTAGTTTTCTTTCTGTCCTTAAAGGTAAAGGACACGTGTAAATAAATCAAAAGCTAATAGCTATGGAAAACCTTTTGGTGATATGGAATATAATTGCAACCAGTTCAAGGGATGGTGAGAAGATACATGTGCTCATAGCGTCCCCTCAGCTGCGGTTGGTTACAGAAGAGGTGCTGTCCCCTGCAGTCCACTGCTTGCAGCTCTCTACCCTCCT